TGCGACGAGGAACCCAGATCGGGTTCCTCCCTCTGGGTTCGTGAACCCAGAGCAAAATTTTTTATTTTTTTTAATTTTTTATTTAAGTAAACCACATCATCAAAAAAACATCCACGTTGAATTACTAACGGCATAGGTTGGCCACGTCAATTTTTGAGTGCCACGTAATACATTTTGTAACGGTACCGTGACGTCGCGTTAAAATGTTGGGTTTTTTACTGGTTTTGAAAAGTTAAGGGTGTGAATAGGGAGGAAAAATTCTGGAAGGTGTTGACCATGGAAAACAATTAAGTGTAGGGTGCAAATAGGGGCTTTGGCCTAAAAAAAAGAGTAAGAAATAAGTAAAAATGAAGTTTATAAAAAATAAAAATTTGAAACTTTTTAAAATTTATTGTTTTAAGTCTTTTTTAAGTAAAAAAAAGTTAAAAAATTAAAATTTTTTTAAAAAAATTTTAATTTATGAAATATAAATAGTATCAACGAATTGAAATACTTACAAGTTTAATAGACATGAGCTTATTCTCGTCTTAGCCTTAACAAAGTAGAAATTTAAATTCTTGTTAAGTTAAAAGACACTTTTAAGAGCACCTTTATCTCTTTTTACTCCCCCCCCCCTCCCAAAAAAGAAAAAAAAAAAAAAACAAAAAATGCACCTTAAATACTCATATTTTGAGAAGGACAACTTTTTTTTATTAAAAATTATATAATTATAATGATATGTAATATTATAGTTTAAAATTATAATATATCATTTTATAAGTAATTTATTTTTTTTATAATTGATTTATAATATTATATATACTTATTTAATAACATATTATTATTATAAATTTATAATTCAAGGTGTGAAATTGTAACCATATTCGCAGTGATCTTTTGCTGTCTCGTTAAGACAGAGGGATGCACTACATTCTTCCATGAGTTCTGGAAAACTTTTGTAAAACCCACTAAATAATGGTGAGAGTGAGACCGAACACCTGTACCGTATCCAACTTTCTTTTTTTTATTCTTTAAATGCGTATAAGTTTTTCATTCGTGACTGTGACGGAAAACAGAAAGAATACAATCATGAATAATCTAATACTCGCACCAATGCTTATGCATGTATGTGCTTGAGCCCACCAGCAACACATCATACATATTCATGCATTGCCCCTAAACAGACTTTCCTGTGTAGCGGAGAATCCACTTAATCAAGTTGAAGAGAACTCCACCAACCGGCCTTATGATCGCTGGTCTCATTAAGGTTGGTAAGCTGTTCACCTGATTTGGAGATCAAATCCTCAATTACTAACATCTAATAATACTAACCTACTAATCATTGCCCTTATAAAAAAAAAAAAAAAGTTGAAGAGATATATATGAAAACTTGTAACATTAAACAGCAAAATTTATCCTTTTTATTGGAAAGACAATAAATTAGTCTTAGCCCATAATATATTGTACATGGAAGTAAACTTTCAAACAAATCTGAATGGATTGACGCTCCAAAGGTGAAAAAAAATAGTGTTATAATCAAACTCAAAGGTCTCTTGCCTTTGGAATTTTCCCCCTCCCTACTTTCTTCTACCTTCATTTGAGTGTTTGTATGGATCAGCATGTCCATGAGCACGATCTCTTGATCAATGGCTTCATCTGTTTGTCCTCCTCCAAAGATATCATCCCCAAGTGTGATGGATCTTCTAGCATCATCTTTGCAACCAAGTACCCTGCTATTGACCAAGTCTGGTACTTCCTTGCCTGTTTACCAATATATCTCCCCAGTTTGCCATCATAATATTCTGGCCAGCAATCTTTCAGCAGGCGAGTCTCAGCAAGATCAATTGCACGCCTTGCAATTTGTGGGCGGCCGGTTTTGATGCAGGCAGCCGTTAGCAACCACAAGAGCACTGCATGAAAAAGAAAAAAGAAATTGCAGCACCAAAGAAAAGAGCGGCTTATCAAAGTTCAAATATACTTTGAAATGCAGAATTCAATATCAATAAAGTACATAAATGAATGGCTGCATGAATTCAAAAAAAGCTTGAGTTTCACTGAAAACACAAAAATGTCATTAACGGTAATACAGATAAAAGTCCCCTACAAGCGGTGATCTGGATTTGGACCTGGACTAGACTTAGACATTGAATAAAGAGGCAGCCTTAACGTGTGGATAAAATTCGGGGAAGCTATCTAAAGAGCTATTGGCAAATTTCCATTGTAGTGATCCTTAAACCTCAGTATTGCAAACCAAAGCAGATATTGAACAGACTGTAGAGCTCAAGCTTCATAAATCTCAGTGACATCCTACAATTCCAGTTGAGTCCACCAGGGCCAGAGCTCGTATTGATTGTCAGATGGCCAAATTTTGAGGATTTATGAAAGTAAAACAGTCAAGTCCACTGCCTAATTGGGCCACCAAAAGAAAAAAAAAAAAGAAAAAGAAAAAAGTCCACTGCTAAATGTTGTATAAAATTAGGTTTCTCACCATTTTAATAGTCATTTTTTGTTTAGTTAAATTGTGTAACATGAAAAATGTTCACTTTTCTCAAACACTCTATGGACTAGCCAGCTATCCCTGTATGTAGGGTTTCAAAAGAGCCCCAAAAAGCAAGATGGATGCTAAATTCTCATTGTTACAATTTTGACATCAAGTTGAATAAAATGGAAATCAAGTAACATGTTCCAGCCTCCTGGTTAATAAAATTCCAGCTCTACTTCCCTGTTAAAAGCGACAAGAACAATTATCTGGGGTGAAAGAAGAAAATGGTGCTGTCCTAGCTGCAAATCTTTTTCATTATAATAGGAAATCATTAAAATAAGAAGATTGTGAGAAAAAATGGACAAACCTGGCCAAGATCCTCCATTATGGTAACTCCATCTAGTATTCTTGGGGTCACAACCAGTTATAATCCGCCAGTCATGATTTTCTATTGCAGGATAAGCTATTTTTAGAGGCATCTCTCCAACCAGCTCATCCCAGCGAGCTTCTATCAGATCCATAATGGCCATTGATTGCTCTGGAGTTGCAAGCGAGGATAGAATCGCTACACAGTTACCCAAACAAAACCATCTAAAATCCATCCTTGCAGGACTGACATTACCAATGAAGTATCCACCACGCGTTGGCATAAAATCAAATACCCATTCTGGGATGGAATCAGGAATAACATTAAACTTATTTACTGCAGTGTGAGAGTACTCCTCTGTCTTATATCTGTATATGTCATTTAGCTGCTGAAAGTCAAGCCAAAAGTAATTACGCATATGGTAACTCAAGGCATGTAAACGTTTCACAATTCTCTCAATGAATTCTTTTCCTTCTGCATCATGTTTCAGCATTGGCAAAGCACATCGCAATGCCATAAAGAAAAGTGCTTGAATTTCAATAGGATAACCATAAACACCCTGAGAAATAAGTAAACATCATTAAAATATAAAAATTAAAGGCACCTTGAGCTCTCTGAAATTTGAGGACTCTTGGGATGATATTTGAGGGATGGATGATACATGACAACCTTTCACTAAAAGGTATATAATGGAAAGAGTCAACCGAACAAAGAATCATCAATTGATTTTACCTTATGTGAGAAAATGAAATTATGATAAAAGAATTAAAAGTTATATTCATATTACACCCCAATTGACATACTTTCCCACACAACCACTCACAAGATAATCTTATAACAAACATGAATACTATTAAAAGGTCCACAAATACTCTTACAATAGGAATGGTACATAAATCTAGATAACCTGCAATCAAGATTAACATTAAAATTAGAATGTTACCAAATGACTACTTGGCTTCCTTTTAATATTCACAAATATTCTTAGGACCCGTATATACTTCTAGCAAAAGTAAAATTTAGCTCTTAAAATTGTTAGCTAAAATTTTATCTAATAAAATCTCCACAATTATAATATTACAGCAAATTATGTCTTCTAGTTGCTTAAGGCAAATTATGATGTTTGAAACAATATATATATATATATATATATTTGTTTGTAAAATCAGCAGCTTCAGTAAACTCTTTTTATTTTACTGAATGATTTGTGCAATTGACATCATCCACAATTTGTCAGCAACAGGGGATATTCTAATTAAAACAGCTTACTTTGGCCAAATAAGAAATTAAGAATAACTTATGCAGGAGATCATCTTTATGACAAGTCATATTGATGGGTTTCTAAAAGCAGCCACAGTTAAAACCAATCCTAGAAATAATATCTCACAGTTGTTATGAGGAACCTCTGATGATAGCACAATGACAAATCACAAATGCAATCATATTCCATCAAAAAGAATCATGAAGAGTGTTGACCAATAAGAAATGGTTAATTGGCTAAACACACACATTTAAAAGCATGCATACATGCAGAGAGAGAAATAAGAGAAGTAAAATGCGATGATACTAACTTACCATTCTCCGATCAATCATAGAACATCCATCAGCACAAAGCAAGGTTGGGAACGTATCAAAACCCTCTGACAGACAAAGAGCCAATATAAGCCTCATCCCCTTTTGGCACTCAGGCGTCTCCGCCAGGGTTAAATCCCCAGTAGACTTTGTGTATGCACGGAGCAGAATAATCCACCAGAATCCACAGTCAACTGGAGCAACTCTTCCAATTGCACTCTCACCAAAATCTGCAATAATTGTATCTGTTTTTCTTGTAGGATCATGAAGAACTTTGAAGCTAGCCGGCATTGCACCTTCCCCAAGCTTAAACCGGTCTATTCTTTTCTCCCAGCCCTGAAGCTGTAGTGTCTTCAACAGGAAGTTCTTAACTATCTCAGGCTCACCATTCATCAGGAAAGCCAGAGCACTGGGTACAAAATCACGCACAAAAACCTGGAAAAGGTTTCAAACAGGAAATAATAGTCTTACCAAACTCAAAAGTCATACCCACATCACAATGAATTTCATTATTAAATTTATGACCAATTAAATTTATATTATAAAACCATGTCTACTTACATGTCCCAAAACTTAAGAAATTATCATCTCCAACTTGTTAGATCAAACTATAATGATATAGTTTAGAATTCCACTTTCATCAATTTTTCAACTTATGCTCCATATCTTATCAAATTCTTTATTCAGGTTCAGTTAAAAGGTCCACATAATCAAGCAGCTTGGATCAAGTAAATCTTATAATTCCAGCTTGAGGATGAAGGTCATTTAGTTTAAATAATCGCTATTTCCTTCAAATGTCTAGATCATAGCATATTGCACAAATCAAACTCTTGGGAGAACTTTTACCTGGTCATAGTTCAAAACCTCTTCCGAAGCATGGTCAATTGCAGCAATTGTACCAACTGGTTGGCCCCTGAAAAACACCAGAGACCTACGAAGGGCATCCCATGCTTCAGCCACCATAGGATGTGGCTCAAACGAGTTTCTTGCTGATGAAGCCGGAGTATCAAAACCAGACCTCCCACCTGGCGAGTAAATGCCCTCAAAATGGTCATGGCCTCTCGTGAAGCCAATTGAGAGCTCACTAAACGACCTCTCATCAAACGATCTCTGCCTCTCAATGTTCAGCCTTGGCTTATCAAGAAGCTTGGAGAGATCAAAGTCAGCCATCTCAGAGATTGAGCAATGAGAGTTAACCTTTTTAAGCCCCAAAATTCCATCCATCTCCTTCCAATTCCACAAAGCACGAAAGATTCAAACTTTCACCAAGAGAGATCTGCAATTCAAAGAAAAAGGGATTGTTATTTGAAGATCATAAACAAAACTGATCCCAAATACCATGGATAAACATGAGGAATATTAGGAAAGTGATATCACACATGCTTAATATAGAAACTGAAAGAGCTAAGACTATGTATAAGAAGAAAACTACAGCTTATCCATTGAACAACCCTTCTATCCTGTAATGACAAAAATGAAAACTTTATTATCAAACTTTCAACTCAGTATGTCTTGAAAAGGAGACCCAATCTGCAATAGAACTTCATTTTCAAGAAATTTTATACAGATATTAAGACCAAAATATGATAAAACATAATTTTATTCTAAACTGATACAAAAATGGATAGTCCTTTTGACAAGGTTAAAATTAAATAAAAAAAAAAAAGTCCTGTAATTTTCACACAATGTACTGCTGCATTCTACTTTGCTTTGAACAGGATTTACTAAATGAGAAAATAGAAAATATATATATAGATTCTAGAAAACAGATCAAGATCGTTCGGATTTGGACTCTAGGTTTGTTTCAGACCGACTTAAACATAAACCGGACAGAGAGGAGAACGCTTTTCTTGATCTTTGTCGGAAAACTATGGAAATGGATGCATCTAAACAAGAAACTCCAGATCTGAAGCTCGTGGAGGAATATCAGGACGAGAGACAAGACATGCAAATAGAAGAAACGGAGACAAACCTCGAACAGAGTAGGAATGTTAGAGAAAATGAATCCTCGGCCGGCAGCTGAGAGGAAAGATCACCGGCGATTTTGCCGGAGACAAGGCGGCGGCGGAGCAGAGGAAGAAGAGTAGAGGAAGAATGGAAGAAGGGGAGAAAAAATGAGCATGTCCTACAGTGGTGATATTTATAGAGAGAGAGAAAACGAAGAGAAAGAAAACAGAGTGAAGGGGATGATTAACGTTTCCGTACAGTCTCCTTCTCTGTCCACCGGTGGGGAAAGGGCAGAGGAGAGATGGAGTTCACCGGTGATAGCCGGTAAAGACACGTGTGATGT